TTTAAAAATTATTTAAACAGCTCTTAGTCAGATTGGATTTAGTATTTTAAACCTTGATTGCGTTGGCATACTTGAATGGGCTAGAATTTAAAACAACGCACAGTGGGCCAATAGGTGGACAAAACTATAAAAATCAATGTTTGAAAGCTTAAATTTTTTTTATAAAATTTTGAATTAGATATGTTGGGGACCTCAAAAGTATCTGAATTAGATATTAAAAGAATACATTAGCGGAAAAAAATCATATTCAGTAAAGTTTTTCCGCAAAAAAAATAGCGATAAAGTGAAAAATTGTTGTTTTTTGCAAAGCAAAAGTGTAGAATAAATTTTTGATATAATAATTAAATATTTTTATTAACTGATCAAATAATTGCTATTATATAAATTTATAAAAAAAAGAATTCAAAAAAATCTTCAAACTAGTTTTGAATATAAGTTTCGGTAGCAAATGTTTTATTTTTACCCTTTTTTTTTTGAAAGGACAACAAGGAAAAATTTGTGCTGTATTTTGCCCTTATCTCATATACATATTATGGCCTCAATATTTGCAATAATATTGCAAATATTGAGGACCTTTTTTTTTTTTGGTGTTTCTAGTTTGCAAAAAAATACATACACCCCCCCCCCATCCACCATCGATAGAAGACCTCTTCGGGACGGCATCCATAGAAGACCTTCATATCCATAGAAGACCTTCACATCCATTCATATCCATTCTTCACATCTATTCACATCCATTCACATAATTCACATCATTCTTCACATATATTTACATCCATTCATATCTTTCACATCCTTTCATATCCATAGAAGACCTTTACATCTATAGAAGACCTCTTCGGGACAAGTTTTGAACTATAGTTGGCATATTATGCCAACTATAGTTCAAAACTTGCTCAATTTGCCAACTCAAATGCTTTAATGACAGCTTTGGGGGGGATGGGGAGTTGGGACACCCCCGATACTCAAGTCATTTTAATTTTTAGTTTAATACTATTATTTGTAATATGTCAATATGTACTAGATATCAAGTTCATCAATTCATAAGACAGCATAGTTTATCTATGTCCAATCAAAAAAAAAAACTTGATGTTCACATTTTTATTTGTGAATACTTTTCTCAAAATGATGCTCAATTTGTAACTTTTTTGTAAACGTTGGTCTTTAAGTTTAAGTGTTGATGAAAACTTCTTATAACCTCATTCCTAACTCCAACCTATAAAAAGACTATTAAATCATCAAAAAATTAGGATAATAAATCAAAATCTATAGTTAGTGGTAAGCCTGTAAAATCATTTGAAAATTCATCAAATAAGACAAAGAGTCGTAAAGTAGCAGCTATCGACTTATTATCTAGTTATTTAAATGAACTGTTAAACGCTGGTAGTTGTAATCTTTTTAAAGATGACAGAAGAATTAATGTAAAAGTAATTTAAAGTTTATCTGTTAAGCAGCCTTCTGATTCAGAACACACTCAAAATACTCTAAAAAAGCTCTAGAACTCATATTAGATAATAATATGAGCAAATCTGATTACTTACACTTGAGAAATAATGCTGTGAGTAAAAGTTGTAACCTCTATTCTGCATACAAAAATGTTCGTGCTGGTAAATAATAATGTCGTGCCGAAAAAACATTATAAACTATTAATAGTTTTTCTGAAAAAATAAACTTCCAATCGTTAGTTGATCATACGCCTAATACAGCAAAAACAAGTTATCAATTCCATGAATGATCTTGAAAGACTAACATTACTTTCTAAAGTTTGGTTTGATGGATTAACTAGCCTAAGGATTTATAATCAGGCAACAGATGAGATAGAAAACCAAAATTTTTTAGTAGAAGCTAAAAATATGTCGTTGACAGAGATAGGTCTCTGCTATGGCCTTTTAACTTTCCATGCTTGAAATAAAATCATGGAATGTCTTCTTAAAATTAACGATAAATTAACAGTGAAAAAGTGGTCTACAAGGACACCATTTGAAAAGAAAATTATCCAAGGAAGAAAACAAAAAATTCAAATAAAGTTTCGTGACGAAGTTGGACTAGTAGTTGATATGCCAGTATCTGGTGGCTCTGGGTCATCAAATAATAGAAACACTGCTAGAAGACCTTTAGAATGCAGAAAAGCTTGCTCTAATTCTTGAACTTGATGTCAGTAAGATAAAGATGTTACATGCTATTTGTGTACTTTGTTATTTAGTTTTCTAATTGACACTTCATTATTCAGGGAGTTTTGAGCTTCTTGTGCCTCTTCAGTAAAGAGGCAAAAGAAGCACAACATAAAAACTTAAAGAGGCTTTGTGAATAATTTTCCAAAAAATGTTTGCGGTCAATAAGAAAATGAAGATTTATCAAGGCAACTAATTTGTTCTTTTGACCCTTTGATAAGTAGTTTGAGAAAGTAATATTATCCTAAGAGCTATGCTTTTCTAACTGGCATTCTAAATGTACTCATAGAGATTCCAATTTTTGACTAACTATAATTTCAATTGCATAGTTTTGATTTTAGTTGGTATTCAAGGTTTTGTTTACTTTTTAGTATTTATTATTTTATAATAAAATAATGCATGTTGTGTAAATAAACGTTTTTTTGAATATACAAATTTGCTTGTACTCTTGCATATACTTTATAAAGTATTCAATAGCTCTTACTGTACAAAATTTCTTTAAATCATTTTTGATTTAAAGAAATTTTGAATTAAGCAAGTTTCTTAAAAAATAATAATAATAACTGGTTTCTAAGAGCCCAAAACGGCATAGCAACACCAAAAATTACTAATTTTTGTTTGTGTCATCGTTTGAACACATCGTAGCAATAATATCAGTTTAGTTTATAAATTTGACATTTTAAGAAAGTCTCTTAACTTAGGCAACTATGCAAAATACACTGTTGCTATGGAACATAGGTATCCATAGCAACTAAATAATCTAATGGTACTATTAAATTCGTAGTATGAAATATACTCAACCTGGCAATTATGGGGAAAATCTGATTAATATTTTAAAAGTTATTACTTTTGTCCAACCAATAATGAGCGTTGCCCACTGTGCAACACTGTGCAACGCTCGAAAATTATACATCATCATTTTATTTTGCACATTAATATTTACATAACATTAAATTTCAAGAATTATTTACTGAAGATTAAAAAAGTTTACTTTATATGATAAAATGCCAGAGAAAAATGAAAATGAAACAATTTTTTTAAACAAATATGTTAAAGATTCCATATTTGTTTAAAATAAGGAAAAAAACTAAAAAGGAAATAGTCCTTCATAATTTCACAATTATTTAAAACGTGGTTTTATGAAGCTGTTATTTGAATTTAGAACAACAACAAAATTGGCTTTAAAAATTTTATTAAATTTATAGGTTAATCTAAATTTCATAACATACTGTTATAAAAAATAAATAAATGAAAGTTTGTAATAATTAAATAAATAAATGAAATAATAACAAATAATAAATAATAACTAATTAAATAATAAATAAATAAATGAAAGTTTATAAACAAAAAATTAATAAATGAAACCGGGCGAGTTCCATAGTTTAGTTTTCAGATTATTAAAATTTACCGTAGAAAGTGGAGTCGTAAATTTAGATAACAGCAAATTTTTTTAACATATCATTTTTGAACCACTCTTATTTCGATAGATATTTTTAGTTTGACATGTAGTTTAAATCTTTTTAAATGAGCCATACTTCTAAACATATATCCAACCAGAGTTGTTAGTCCTTTGAAATTTTTGTTTATTTGTAATAGTTTCAGATAAATATTTGTAATGTTAGATTTTTTTCTGGTGGGCTGAGTTAGTGAGTAGAATGGTAGAATCTCTTTAATGTATCACTCTTTAATGTAAATATTAAAAGTCTAAGTTGACATGTTGTGTTACTTAAGTGTGTTTTGCATACCATATGATTAGTTTTTTCTTCAAATTGTTTTTAAATGAATTTATCTTTCATTGCTCCACCTTTTTAAACAATGTAAAGTTTTAAACTTTAATGTTAAATAAAATGGCATTTTACGTGTCTTGTTTTCCAATCATAGCAAAACATGTGAAATGCGATTTTTTTTTCTATTGAAGACCATTTTGAAGACGCTCAATCTTTATTAATATATGATAATATATAATAATGATAATGAACGAATAATTAATATATTAATTGTTCGTTCATTATCAAACAAACGACACACTATTGAGAGTGCTTTTTTATTAGTAAATACCGTTTTTTTTTCACAAAACAAATTTTTCTTAATCAATAACGCCTTTTTATACCTCTCAATTACACGATAAACAAATTAATGAGCTTCAGTGATTGTTGTTTGAGACAAGTTTCAATTTTTTTTGTGAATGCGCATAAATATTTCGCGACTTTTCGTTCAACCATTAAAACAAAAACAAATAAATGTTTTTAAAAAGTGGAAATTATTATCATACATAGTTTAGTTTTAGCAAACTTTTTAAAAACACTTCACTCAATATTTATAACTAACCAAAATAACTAAACTTTATCTTATTAAAATGAAAAACCGGTGTTCTCAGAAGAGCACAGTGTAGTGTTCTCAGATGAGCACAGTGTAGTGTTTTCAGAAGAACAGTGTCCTTAGAAAAGACCATTGGATGATTAAAAAAAAATTTTAATAGTTAAAAAAAAACAATTTTTTTCTTTATTTTTATTTTATTGTCAAAGATTTTTATTCTTAAACCTTTTTAAAATAGTAAACAAAGAATAATATAAAATAAATGAGTGGTCACAACTCTCAGTGTAAAAAAAAAATAATTCTCATCTATAAATTAAACCAAAATCTTCCTAATTTTACCACATCCTCCTTCAAAATCCTTCTTATTATATTAATGTTCATAAAACTAATGAAACTCTGAAAGCATTTATAGAATTTTAAAAATCTAAAAAAGAACTATATTTACAACCTATGAAAAAATACTTCGTTTTAGTGTAACAAAAATGCAAAAATCTAAAATTGAAAAGATTCCCATGTTTATATTAAAAATTTTATTTATTTAGTTTTTTACAAGGATCGTTGACTTCATCTTTTCGATGACATCTGAAAATTCGGTTTCCATTTCAAGAATCATTCCTAAAACAATGTTTATATTATATTTATTTTGAATATATATATATATATATATATATATATATATATATATATATATATATATATATATATATATATATATATATATATATATATATATATATATATATCTGTGTATAAGTGTATGTGTGTGTGTATATATATATATACACACACATACACACACACAGATGTTTTATCGAAGAACATCAATACAAGAAGTGAAATAAAACAAGTGTTTCATTACATCAATACAGCCCACATCCAACCAAGACGTTGTGTTCCACAGAGCATAATTGTATCATTACAAGGTAAATGTAACACGGTAAACCTTGAGAAGCGTGATTATTTATTTTTATTATTTTTATGACTTCAAGTGCAAAAATGGCTCCCGACAGTCTTGGATTGGAACTAAGAAAGAAAAGTATTGGCGATTACGTAAGTGGAATGTCACAAAAAAGTATTTGTGATAAATATCGCGTGAAAAAATGGACCGCTTTAAGACTATGTTCCAAATATCGTTCTATGGGGAAATTGGCAGCAGATAACAAAGGTGGAAGACCACGTTCCACCACTTCTAGAGAGGATTCTATGATCTTCAGATCCGTCAAGAAGGATCTCTGGATATCGTCAGTTGAGATACAAAAGCAATTAGAGCTGCCTGTATCGGACCGAACAATCAGACGACGTGCTGTTGAAGCCGGATTATTTTCTCGACGCCCTGCAAAGAAACCGCTAATTTCACTTAGGAACCAGATAAAAAGACACCTGTTTGCTACATCTCATATTGACTGAAATGTGCAGAAATGGCAAACTGTCCTGTTCAAAGTTCAACATCATTGGAAGCAATGGCATTTGCTGAGTACGTCGAACGGCCAGAAAACGCCTCGATTTACGTTACTGCCATAAGACCCTGAAGCATGGTGGAGGCAATGTAATGGTCTAGGGGTGTGTTTCTGCTTACGGTCTAGGTTCAATACATCGAATTGAAACTAGACCGTAAGCAGAAATACATCGAATCGATGGAAAAATGGACCGTTTCATGTATAAAAATATCCTGAAAGATGTTATGTTACCTCATGCTGAATGGAATATGCCAATAAAATGGGTTTTTCAGCAAGACAACGATCCAAAACACACTGCAAAAGTAGTCAAGAAGTGGTTTCAAGACAACCACCTATCGATGATGGATTGGCCGCCTCAATTTCCGGATCTCAACCCTATCGAGAACCTGTGGGAGATCGTCAACCGTAGAATTAATTGTGAAGGTGTTCGTAATAATCAACTGTTTGAACAAATCAAAAAGGCCTGGGCAGCGATTCCACAAAGTTTCATTGATCACCTGATAGAATCTATGCCTCGAAGATGCAAGACTGTGATTGACAACAAAGGATTCACCACGAAATATTGATAGCGAAATACAGCTTGGTCAACATTTTGTGGAGTTGCACTTGTTTTGTCCATAAGGAAATCAACTTTTTTAATACTTTTGATTAATTTATTAATTTTCGTGTACAAATAATAAACTTTGTGATGAATAAAACTTGAAAAACGTTGTCTCTAAGCAGTTACATAGTTATTTCTCTAAATTGAAAAAATGCAGCACTTTTATATAAAGAAACTAAATTAGCATTATTTGGTTACACTTGTTTTGTCCGATACTGTATATATATATATATATATATATATATATATATATATATATATATATATATATATATATATATATATATATATATATATATATATTTAACAGTTATTACTTTTGGAATATATGAGTTAACTTTGGTTATCAGTAATACCAAATGAATAGGAAAAAAAGATGAAGGGGATGGCAGCCCCCTCCATATTTAGTCAAAAAGATCACTACCGCCCCTCCCTACAAAACCCTAACCCTGGCTGCTTTAGTAATCCCCTTCAATTGCTATGAACTTCATATGCAACTGAGTAATATTATACTGTATACTGAATAATATTATACTGTATACTTTGAAACAAAACATATTTAATAGGTGGATATTATGGAAACTTAGGATGTTATGGTTAGAAAATCACATTGTACCTCAACTGTTGAATTACTCATAGTAATTCAACAATTTAAAAACAGTGAACAATTATATGTAGAGAGATTTCAAGAATAACTGAACGTTCTGTTGAAATGATTCAAAACTTTGCTCTTAAACCACAAAAATGTATGGAAACTAGAGGTAGAAAAACTTAATGAGAAGATAAATTAATTATTCGGGAAGCTAAAAAGAAAAAAATTTAAAGATAAATGTAACCTCGAGTAAAATCATAGGGCGTTTACTTAAATTGAATGAGATTAATTTAAATGATATTTTAATTTAATCTTATTGTTATTTGCGTATTATTGGTGATGCTTATGTAATTTAAATCTATTTATGTGTTTTATTGCGTGTTAATTTATGTTTAGTTGTGATTTTTGTTTATAATAACTGAATATTTTTCAGATACCAAAGATAATTTTTTATTTCTTACACAAAAAGAATAACAAATTTTTGATTACTCCAAAAAACTTTATGAAAAACTCTAAGCTGTTTAAAGGCAAATCATCATCACAATGTACAACTATTTGTTGTTGTTTTACTGATTCCTAGAGATTTGGGAATCAATCTGCTGCAATGTGAAATTTAGAAAACTGGTTTTTCAAATCGTGAATCAAAATTCAGGAAAATCAAGGAAACTCTTCAGTTACTGTGTCAAGTTTAGATTTCCACAAAAAATCCATTAAAACTATAAATTCCAAAAAAGACTATATAAATATAATATAAAAAATAAAAAAATATAAAAAATATATCTCTTTAATTAAACCACACAAAACTTATTTTTAAGCATAAAACTAAGTTCCAATAATTAATTTTGATACCTTCAGTTATTTTTATTGAGTTTATAAATGATTAGGAAATAAATAATGTAGACAGAAGTTTTGTTTTTAATTGAAACAAAGTAACGTTACCCTATTTTTTTCTCCTTCAAAAAATGTGGATTTATAAGATATGTGGATTTATTTCATAGACACTAATAATTTGATGATAATTGTCCAACTTGGTGACAAGATGTCAAAAAAGCAGAGTCAAGAAGTAATTAGATGTCAAAAAAAAAAAAAAAAAAAAAAAAAAAAAAAAAAAAGAATGCTAAATGAAAGCACAATTATTACAACTTTCAAAGACGCAACACTGTGTTGCATAAAAAGAAAGTTGGAGTGAACAAGGTTTTGCCTTGTTTATAGTTATGTATAGTTACTTGCACTACAAATGAACAGTAACTTCCCACTTAAACTTGAGCACAGCATGTGGTCCAGATAATATTCCTGTCACAGTTTTTAAAACAATTTACTGGAACTCTCTTTATCACAAAGCCAATTTTAAAACTCCATCTCTCATAAACAAGTCTGACCTTACTAATTCATAATTAGGTAAGGTACATAGTTTCTTTTCTTCATAGTACTCTATTTTACTTTAGCTTTAAACTACTAGTTTATCTCCTTAATCTTCCAAAACAAACAAGTTAATCTATTGCAATTTATCAAAATAATTACTGCTGCTAGAATTATTTCCCATTTTTCAACAGCTTGTGGTCTAGACAACATTCTAGCAACTCAAAAACGTTCATCCATTTATATATATATATATATATATATATATATATATATATATATATATATATATATATATATATATATATATATATATATATATATATATATATATATATATATATATATATATATATATATATATATATATATATATATATATATATATATATATATATATATATATATACTGATTAACTTCTTTTCATTTTTCAAAAGTTTAAATAAAGTGATTCAAAATAAATAACAAAACTGTTTAAAAGTTTTAATATTTCAAACAATACCTGTGTTAGCAGATGAATCAGCAATCACTGTTACCACGATTGGCAAATAATTAAACATAACTACCTATAACAACAAATAATTTTTATTATTCAATCATTTCCATTTAACGTCTAACAACCAGGGTCTGACATACATATAAGGCATGAAAGTTTTTACAACATTCTAAAAAGTTAATAACAGTAGTTCTACAACTGAAAATCTGTTGTCACTAAAACAAAATATCACAACAACGTGTAACAAAAAATAGCACATAAAATATAACACAAAACCTCACAACAAACAATATGTAAACAATATAATAATAAAAGTTAAGCTTGATTAAACATAAAAAATTTCCACTTAAACAAATATAAAAATATATAATAAATAATTGTACCAATTATAGTGCAACATTGTTTTACTATTTATCAAAAAACAAGAAATGTTAAGAAATAAAAGCTAATAAAAGGATTGCCAATGTCATGTATAATGTGAAATATTTTAAAATGAGATTCAATTTTGATGACAAATCATAACTGATTTCTCTTGTAAAATTTTTTATGGGTCCTTATGGTCTGATTGAGAATGCTGCATTTATGACACTAATGTACGTAAAATATAGCTAGTAAGCTGTATAATGTAAGACAATTATAATTTTGCATACTAACTGACTGAAAGGCAATAAGATATTATTAAAATATTAAATTTAGTTATTTAATATTTTAAAAATAAGTTTGAAAAAAAAAAATATTCTAAAATATATTTACATAACAACATTTCTATATTGTTTTTTTTTTTTTTAATAAGGTAACATTTCTATAGAACTCGTTTTGTGGTAATTGTATTGTGGTATTTGTATTTTGGTAATTAAAAAAAGTAAAGAGAATTAATAAGACATTAAATTCACATTATGCTAATGCATTTTTATTTTTATTTTTATTCAAAATAAAGCCTGATCTATACATATCCAGTTTATTATATAAGTATTATAGATACTACACACATTCATTTTATTTTATATGTTTTATAAATACTAAACACTAATAGATGCTAGACATCAATTTTATTTTATAATTACAGTAAACTCCTGGTTATGTGAACCTTCTAGGGGAACAAGAATTTACTTCAAATAAACAAAATTTCGAATAGATTGAAAAACCTGTACCAAATAAAGTTTGTTAAAGAAAATTTATGGGGAATGAAAATTGCTTCGATAGATTTGCCACTATAATGCTGGAATAAATTTTCGGGATTTTCCCTGATTTTTTCAATGAAATTTTGCTTATTTATAGAAATACAATAATAATTTGCATTTCATACATAAAACTCAAATTTCATACTTCACTCACAACTTTTTACTGCTCCTAATAAAATACTTGGTTCAACTACATTATCACATTACTTTTAATTCCTTTTGTTTACAACTTTTTATTTTCCTCTAGATATTAATATTTCAATGAGGTGTTACAAACAGTCTTTTATTGTTAATTTTTACTACTTTAGCCTTCAATTTGTTAGATATCATGAGATCTTTGTTAGTCACTTGTCTTTTTTCACAAAAGACAGGTGACTTTTTTTTTATGTCTTCACTTAGCATATTACTATTTATGCTGAAGCACTTTTCAAATAATGCTTGACTTAACAGAAAAATGACTATCAAAACTATTGACAAAACCTTGTACTTTATACTAACTTCAATGTTTTTAAAATTTCTCAAAACAATTTCTAGTGTGATATTTTTTTAAATGCTGGTGAAATGTTAGATGAGCTTTTTTCTAACAACGTTGAGAATTGTGTGAAAGGGAGATCACAATTATTTGAATAGATATGCAGGCAGAAAAAATTAGATGAAGTAAAAGCTGATCATCTACAGACTTCATCTGTATATAAAAAACCAGCTTTTTATTTTGATAGGATTTGCTCTGAACTGATGTAACTATTTGCATCAAGAAAAGAAGATCAATTTTAACTTTTTCTAGAATTAAATTAGCTGTAAGTCAACAATCTCTCATTAATATATTGATCATCCTTTTCTCCTTGGATACCATGTTTCGTGCTGCGGCAAAAACAATTGTCATTAATTTTAACAGTAGAAACTTCTGCTTTCTAGTGAAATAAAATTTCATAAGTTGCCTCCCATTGATGATGCTTCAAAAAACATCTTGTTTAATTATTAAACTCATAAAGCTTTAATTGGTTGAAAACAAATCATTAGGGTGTCTCTCTGATACCTCACTAAGATTTTTTGCAACAAACTAGCAATGTAACAAAAAAAAAATTAATTTAGTGAAAATTAATTTATCTTTAGTTTAGTGACAGTTACAAAATCAGCTCTTTTGGCAGGAGAACCATAGAAATTACTTTAACTTCCTTGATTGAAAGCCAGTTTTAAAACCACCATAGATTACATGGAGGTTGCAACTCTTAATTTTAAGAGGTTTAGGCTCTAGTTTCTCAGGCTACTTTTCAATAAGATCAAGAAGTAACCAGTTTATTTTAGTTCATCTGTACACAGTTTCTTTCAGATTTATGCCATTAACCATTGCCAAAGATGTGCTCATACTTTCAAGTAATTTTTTTGCAGGGGGGTAGCACAAAAATTGAGAATGAAAGTATTTGTATTTAACACAATTTAGATCATTGTTCCAAAAATAAATAATTAGATCAATTTGACAATTTTGAAAAGAATTATTCAGGCTTTCATCAAATGAAAAGATTTAAAAGAAGATTTCCTGATATATTTTGCTAAAAGTATGTGTAAACAATGCCCTAGCCCAAAATTAATAACCAAGTTTTTTTCTACCCATCTCATAAGAACTAACAGTTGTATTATCAGGAAACATTTTTTAATATAGTAGATCATTCTCATTACAGAAGTTTAATGAGAAATTGTTTTGTACTGCATGCAAAAGAGATTTCTGCAAAAGTTTTATCAGATTGATCTACTATAAAAACACATTGGTTTTTAGATTTTGGCTGTGAAGGTTTGAAGTAGCAAGATACTGGTTTTGACTTTCTAAACATGTTTTTTCCCCTCTATGTGACATGCCACAACTCTCTGATCTATATTTTAAATAAATTGAATTTAACTTAGCATGTTTTTCACTTGACTGACTTTTTATCTTAATCATTTATCAGCCAATTTTAAAAAACGATGGATTCTCAACATTCTTCATTAAAATAATCTGTCATTTACAAATTTTGAACTTTTATTAATTCTAAATAAAGAGAATGAAAATACAATATGGTTTATAGAAACTTTGAAAGTCTTCACATGTTGCAGCTACTTCTACACAAAAAAGCACTTAATAAATTCATTTAAGCTATTAATAATGGTCCCACTCAAATCTACAAAAAATGTTTTGCATAAATTTTTCATTATTTACAGTAAATAAATTACCAGAATAAAAGTTAATCTATTTTATAACCAAATTTTTAAAATTTTAAAACATATTTGAACTATTTAATTAGTTAAAATGAATATTACAATAAAATATTTAAAACATTAAAATAATATAATACCAAATTATAAAAATCCCTAATTTTCCCTGACTTTTAACTAAATCAATCTTTTTTCTCTGATTTCTCCAGACTTTCTAAATTTCCCTGACTTTCCCTGAATTCCCTGATTTGGTGGCAACCCTGTTCGAAAAATCGGGAAGTTCAAATAAGTGGCAGTTCAAATAACTAGGAGTTTAGACTGATAAATAATAAACACATCAAGTTTATTTTAAAGAATTTATACACACTATTACATACTACACACATTCTCTTTACTTTATAGATTTTATAAATACTACACACTGATAGGTACTACGCACATCCAGTTTATTATATAGGTTTTGTAGATACTACACATTGATAGATACTAGACACATCCAGTTTATATTATAGGCAGTCGTCAAAAAAAAATGCAACGACTCCAGTTGTTGAAATTTTTTGAGCACAACTCCGACTCGGACTCCAACTCCTAAGCAAAATTTTTGAAAAATTCTTTAAATTTAAAAAAAAAATTTACGCGAAAAGTTAAACATTTTATTTTTGACAAATTTATGAAACGTTCTTTGAGGTTTAGTATGAACATTAAGTTAATCGAAAGTTTTGTACATTCACGTGCAATACCGAGAAGTTTTACTATCGAAGTCGAAGTCGCTATTTTGTTTAGCGACTCCGACTTAAAATGTTGCAACTCCACAACAAAGCCCTGATTATATGTTTTATAGATACACACACCCAGTTTATTTTACATGTTTTATTGGTTAGGTGTATGGTCTTCATGATCACCCTGCTATTGGTAATATGTCCCCCAGTACAACCTGTTCTATGTCCTGCTGCCTTGTGGGATATGCTTTTTAAGCAAAGACTAGAAAGCGCTTGCTTCCTGTCATCAGTACTAATTAAAATCGGTCATGCCTATAGTAATATATACCTATATATTTATTTATTTTTTTGTGTGTCTTTTATATATTTGGAGGTGCCTTATTTACTTTTTTAGCTCACTTGTAATATACTTATTATGTATGTTTGTGTTCTGTCTAAACCTCTGGCATGGTGTTGTCTAACTCATAAGTTGTTATCTGTATGTTTGTGTTCTGTCTGAACCAATGGCACGGTGTCACCAGCAACTTGCTATCTATACGTTTGTGTTCTGTCTGAACCTTGTGGCGTTTACTCATTCGTAAGATACTTTATGTATATTTGTGTTCTATTTAAATGTTTAAATGTTCTGTTTAAATCTGTTTTGATACAGTGTGCTCATTTTTAGCTAACTAACTAAACACTCAAACTATAAAACCTAGGCTCACCCTTATCACTAGTATTTTGTTATATGTAATATTTTTCCCAATGCATTTCCAAAATATCATGCTGCCTTGTAGAGTGTGCTTTTTTAGGCAAAAGCTAGGAGAAACCAACTCTGACTTAAAAATCGCCTGTCTTAGGGCTCTTAGTTGAGTAAATGCTAGAGATGGTGTCTTGATAAAAATACTCATCTTGGGCAGATGTTAACTGCATCCAGCTACTGTATTGTAGGAGGCTTCCCTAGGCAAAGACTTAAGGGGTGTGCAGAACAATTCTGCAAACCA